TGTGATCTCATCAGTTACATTTATTTTAGTGTTTTGGAGAATTTTTTGTCAAATGCTGTAAGAAAGATTACCACTTTATGTTTAATGTATAGGTATTTTCTCCTTGCTAGCTTATAGACAGTTTTCATCAATATAACTTAATATTTCATGCCAGATAACCAAGTACAGTCACCTAATTCATGATACTTTTGGAAGATATAAGATTCAACTTAAATAAAAGTAAAAAAGAGGCGTTAACTAGGCTCATCATGGTGATCAGTTTCCAGTTGATACATGTATCAGATCATTATGTTGTACACTTGAAACTAAAATCATGTTATATTTCAATTATGTCCCTCCCCAAAACCAACTACCCTCCAAACCAAAAACAACTACTCTTCTTGTTTAGACATTAAAGAAAGTACCTGAAATTTAATTTGTTCTTGATAAGCGTGGATGAAAAAGGCCTGTATAATACATATTACCTGTGGTATACATGGATACATCATAGGAAAAATTAATGATACTTTATTGATTAATATTTTGCTTAAGTTTCAGTGAGACCAATAGACACTCATTTGATCAAAGATGTAACTTTGTATTTCAAAAATATGTTTTTATATTAGAAATCTGAGTTCACCCAGTTCATTAACTGGTCTCTCTGAATAAGAAAAAAGAGTTTAAAATAAATTTAAATTAAAAAATAAATTTTATAGAATATTTATTTAATAAAATAGCTAAAAAACTTAAATATAAATAATAGTATTTATTTAGAATCTTGGTGTTCACCAAAGACAATTTTATAAACATGAAGATTATTCTTTTCTGATTTAGATATTAGGTGGTAGTAACTTATACAATACAAATAATTAGTAAGATGGTCAGTTTTTTTACCATATCATAATTCTTCCTGATAATAAATGCATATCACACACATTATTTGAAAATGTCAGCAAAAATTAAGCCCAAGAACAAATGAAATTCTGAATGGTTTGAGAGTAAAAGAAAATAGTATTGATGACTCCATCAAATTTTCCTCTTTCCTCTTAGAAAGGAAATGTTTTAGAAGTTTCAGAATTCTTTTTGATTTGCTTAGGCATTGAAGAATGAAATTAAAACCCTTCACATAATTTCCCCTTTTTAATATATGTATTTGGAGAAGGCTTTTTTTTTTTTTTTTGGTTGGATAAATTCTACTGATCACTCCCAGGTAATTAACAATGCTTCCTTTGGTGTTATTTTACCTTTATTTAATACTGATATATTTCAGTTAAAGAAAAGAGAAGGCAAAAATTGTTTGATATTGCAGCAAACAGCTTTAAGAATAGTTTTTGACTGTATACAGTTTTATAGTAATATTTGTTTCCCATTTGATTCATACCACAACTCTTTTAGACCAGCAGCTATATGTAATCTCTAAATTCCATTTTAACAGTGTCTGAAAGAGAGACAGAGGTTATTTGAATTGTCTAAGGTTGGTAGAGAATCTGCCTGCAATGCAGGAGCTGCACAAGACACAGCTTTGATCCCTGGATGGGGAAGATCCCCTGGGGGAGGGCATGGCAATCCACTCCAGTATCTTTGCCTGGAGAATCCCATGGACAGAGGAGCCTGACAGGCTACCATCTATAGGGTTACAACTATAGAACACTGATGAAAGAAATCAAAGATGACCCAAATAGATGGAGAAATACACCATGTTCATGGATCAGAAGAATCAGTCTAGTGAAAATGAGTGTATTACCCAAAGCAATCTGTAGATTCAATGCAGTCCCTATCAAGCTACCAATAATATTTTTCAGAGAACTAGAACAAATAATTTCACAATTTGTATGGAAATTAAAAAAAAAAACAAAAAAACAAAAAAAAAAATTGAATAGCCAAGCAATCTTGAGAAAGAAGAATGGAACTGGAGGAGTCAACATGCCTGATGTCAGACTATACTACATAGCCACAGTCATCAAGACAGCATGGTACTGGCACAAAGACAGACATGTCAATCAATGGAACAAATAGAAAGCCCAGAGATAAATCCACACACCTATGGACACCTTATCTTTGACAAAGGAGGCAAGAATATACAATGGAGAAAAGACAATCTCTTCAACAAGTGGTGCTGGGAAAACTGGTCAACCAGCAGTGGAAGAATGAAACTAGAACACTTTCTAATACCATACACAAAAATAAACTCAAAATGGATTAAAGATCTAAATGTAAGACCAGAAACTATAAAACTCCTAGAGGAAAACATAGGCAAAACACTCTCTGACATAAATCACAGCAGGATCCTCTGTTACCCACCTCCCAGAGTAATGGAAATAAAAGCAAAAATAAACAAATGGGACCTAATGAAACTTAAAAGCTTTTGCACAACAAAGGAAACTATGAGCAAGGTGAAAAGACAGCCTTCCGAATGGGAGAAAATAATAGCAAATGAAGCAACTGACAAAGAATTGATCTCAAAAATATATAAGCAGCTCCTGCAGCTCAATTTCAGAAAAATAAATGACCCAACCAAAAAATGAGCCAAACTACTAAACAAACATTTCTTCAAAGAAGACATACAGATGGCCAACAAACACATGAAAAGATGCTCAACATCACTCATTATCAGAGAAATGCAAATCAAAACCATAATGAGGTACCATCTCACTCTGGTCAGAATGGCTGCTGTCAAAAGGTCTACAAACAATAAATGCTGGAGAGGGTGCAGAGAATAGGGAACCTTCTTACACTGTTGGTGGGAATGCAAACTAGTACAGCCACTATGGAGAATAGTGTGGAGATTCCTTAAAAACTGGAAATAGAACTGCCATACGACCCACCACTCCCACTGCTGGGCATACACACCAAGGAAACCAGAATTGAAAGAGACACATGTACCCCAATGTTCATCGTAGCACTGTTTACAATAGCTAAGACATGGAATCAACCTAAATGTCCACCGGCAGACAAATGGATAAGAAAGCTGTGGTACATATACATATTACTCAGCTATTAAAAAGAATGCATTTGAATCAGTTCTAATGAGGTGGATGAAACTGGAGCTTATTATACAGAGTGAAGTAAGTCAGAAAGAAAAATACCAATACAGTATATTAATGCATGTATATGGAATTTAGAATGATGGTAATGATAACCCTATATGTGAGACAGCAAAAGACACACAGGTAAAGAACAGACTTTTGGATTCTATAGGAAAAGGCAAGGGTGGGATGATTTGAGAGAATAGTATTGAAACATGTATATTACCATATGTGAAATAGATCGCCAGTCCAGTTTAGATGCATGAGACAGTGTGCTCAGGGCTGGTGTCCTGGGATGACCCTGAGGGATGGGATGGTGGGGAGGTGGGAGGGGGGTTCAGGATGGGGAACACATGTACACCCGTGGCTGATTCATATCAGTGTATGGCAAAAACCACCACAGTATTGTGAGAAATTAGCCTCCAATTAAAATAATTAAAAAAAAGAGACACGACTGAAGCGATTGAGCACAAACAGGCGCACACACACACACCAAGTTACTAAGTATTAGAGAGTTAAGACTTCAAACCAGATATTCTGATTCTTCACTGCGTTTGGTATTCTCAAATACTGAATCCTTTTCACCACTTTGTAAGTTACTTATCTGAGAATGGAAGAGCTTATACAACAACTCTTACGTGGTGGAGAGGTGAGAATAAGCATAGAAACTGAGCAAACTTCATATTTCCTTCTGATTTTCAAACTGTTTTTTCCAAAGGTGACTTGAAGGAACCAGTTTTACTTTTAAAGAATTTTATTTTTACTTGGGGCAAGAACTAATATTTGTATAGTGTTTTACTATCCATTGAATGACTTCTCTTTTATGTTCTCATTTAATGTTCTTACCAGTGTTGAGCAATAGGCACTATTATTATTATTTTCTACAGGAAAGAAGAAAAATAAGACTGATACTCTAGCAGTCATATTATTGGTAGTTTGCATAGCTGGGATTCCTTGGTGGCTCATATGGTAAGGAATCTGCCTGTAATGCAAAACCTGGGTTCAATCTCTGTGTTCACCTGCTATCCCTGGGTTGGCAAGATCCCCTGGAGAAGGGAATGGCAATCCACTCCAGTATTCTTGCTTGGAAAATTCTATGGGCAGAGGAGCCTGGTGGGCTACAGTCCATGGGGTCGCAAAGAGTCAGACACGACTGAGCAACTAATACTTTCACTTGCATAACTGGTACTTTACATTCAAGTCCTTTAAATTCAGGGCTTATAAAATAATACTATTTTTAGAAAAGAAATGTTAAAATGAGGTTTATTTTTCTCTGAAATCTTATCATTAAAATAATTGTGTCAGTGATAGAACTTGTCTCATAAATGAATTTCCCTCTTAAAATAATTTCTTAGACTTGGAGGAGGAAAGTAAAAGAGTATACAAGTATAAACAACACACATTCAAAGTATGTTCTGTGCCATGGCTGAAAGTTATTAATTTTTTTTCAACCTTTCAGGGTCTCTTTCCTACTGTGCTGCTTTCTCTTTTATGTGAATCTTCAATTCTTTATTCCAGTTCTCTATCAGAATAATGTATAATTTCCTGAATGACTTTTAGCAGGATGATAACTTTTTGTTTGTAAGCAGGGTGTTTGCTTGCACCTCATCTCTTCCTCCAGACTAAATCTCAGATATAAGTTATCTGGGAATACTCTGTTTTTAAAAAAGATGTGAAGAGGTATACTTTTAAGTTATTTTACTAAATTTGTTCAGTTAATAAAATTAGATATATTTTGCCCAAAAGATCTCTAGTACTTGCATGGGTCATTCAATGAATGCTGTCTGTGTGTGTGTGTGTGTGGTGGTAGTTTGTTCCAGGTAAGTAAAATAGCCAAATGTTGAATAGGCAAACTCTTAAACCCAATTGTATGTCTCAGTACCTGAGTGATAACTCTAAATTTCCAGTCAGTAACTAATATACTTTTATGATTATCTAATAGTAGCCGTATTGTTCAGCATATTTTCTTCTGTTGTATTTTTTTTTCCTTCTTAGGGACATAGTTCTCAAACTGCTTCAATATGAGGCCTCAACAAATGTAGCAGACAACAAAGGTTATTTTCCTATTCACCTGGCTGCCTGGAAAGGAGATGTGGAAATTGTGAAGATTCTTATTCATCATGGACCATCACATTCCAGAGTCAATGAACAGGTGCATTTGTCAAGTATTTGCTCATGCCGTGATTTTTGAGAGTTTTGTGAAGTCAAAGCCATACTGAAAAATTGATTATTTCTGTCTTTACCCTGCCAAAGATCATCCTACCACTGAATTTGCTAAAGGAGATATTTGAAAACTTCTTTGACATTTGTTTATAGGTACATTGGCACTAAGTTGCACATTTGTAAAGATATTTGTTCATAAGAAAATCCCGCATAAAAGAAGTAGTTCTAGTATTTTTGCCTGCCTTACATGAGAATCCATTTTATAGTTATTGAATATTTAAAGATAGAACAGAATTTACATTCATAATGTAAAAGTAGCTTTTCTTATAAAATTTTAGATGCTAGAACAATGATGATAGCTATCATTTGCATAATACTTTACCATTTACATAGCACTTTTATATTAAGTGCTATTTTGTGAATTAAAATGCAAATACAATGTATACAGTTGCTAGACACATATTAAATGAAAAATTTCCTGTACACACACACACACATATTTGCCTAGAGTAAGTTCAGTAAAACACAGCAGCAGGATGAAACTGACAGATAGTCAAAATATTTGCAACTACATAGTATCCATGTTATACTTAATGCATATATATTTAAAAATAATGCCATTCTCATTGTTCTAAATAAATAAGACCACACATTCCAGAAAGTAAAATACAATCCTCTAGTACAGTGTGATAACAAATGAGCTCTGCATGCCCCCTACTGTTCCCATTTTGTAAAACTATATTTGAAAACCAGCGTGCAGCCCAACAATTGAATTACAAACAGGGTATTAAGCTGCAGGTTGGCCGCTGTCCAGTATGGATGCAAGGAGGTTACTCTAGGGCAAACACGGCTAATATAGTACAATTAGCATATTGTTCATATGGGTACAGACTTTGCAGACACTTGACTGAAATTCAGATTAAAAATGAATACTTGCTAGCTGTATACAGCAAAGGGAAGAAAATATAATATTTTTTCTTACATCAAAATGTAGTTGTGTAAAGAACTAATCAGGAAAAATGTTTTATTAATTAGAAAAATGTCTTGTTAATATATATCACAATAAAATGTCTATGTTTTCATGTTACAAAATGCAGAATATTTTTATGAGAATAGTGAATTCAAGTCTTTATGAAATGATGGATATGGCTGTCTTTATTTATCATTCTAAAAAGGAAATTTATGAGAATGCTGCCTGTTCCTCAGAAAACCAAGTTAAAAGCTCATTGGTGGGATGAGCCATCTGGTGGTTATTCTTAAAACTGAATGCCCAAAGCAAACCTAAAGTAATAAGATGGAAAAACAAACCAAGGTGAAACAATGGAGTATTAGTTTCTACAAACAATATTTTTTAAATGACATGAAAATAAGGAAAAAAACCCTAACCCTAACCAACATTTACATTTGAATGTTGAAGATCTTAAATAGCGTAGAGAAACTTATTTTCTGTGATGTTGAATATGTCAGTTTAAATATAAAAAAAACTTTTTTTGAAGAGATTGGACTTCAAAATTCCTTTTTCAATTCTGTTGCTTTATGTTGCGGTTTCTATTATAAATGAGTAGATTTTCTGAGATTTTTAATACCGTTTTTCTACATATTTTTCCTTTGTTATTATGTACATACTCCTTTAGCGCTGACATAGATCTCTCATTCAGTGTTGTTTCTTCTAAACGTTTCTGATGCAGGGATTTTGTTTTCATAGGTGAATTTTGATTTTAGCTTTATTTCCCACACCCTCCCCAAATGGGACAGAAGTATACTAATTAATTATATACCTTTATGTATTTAAGCAATAGAGGGCAGGGATGAAAATGATAATGAACATTAACTGAGACTTACGATAACTGGGCAGTTTTACCTACAATATGTTATTTAATTAATTCTTGCAATTCTCTGAAGTGATTGTTAACGCTTCCATTTTATAGACAGGAAATCAGTCTCAGTAAAGCTAAGTAACGCATGTAAGTTCACACATTACTGAGTGACTTAAACTGAGACTTGGACTCAGATCTCTATAATTTCAGAGCTGTCCACAATAATACACTGGTTTTACATCATAGACCCTATCACTTATGGAGTGCTTACTATATGCCAGGCATTGTGCATAGTACTTCATCTACATTATCTTTCTAAGCTCTATCATTGCCTAATGAGGTAGGTATTACTTACTGTTCCTGCTTCATATATGAGGAAACCACCTTAGAAAGACTAAGTAACTTCTTGATATCCCAGCTGCTAAGAAATGCAATTAGTACTTGAACTCAGGTTTTTCTGATCCAAAGCCCAAGCTTATAACCAGTAATACATTTTGTTATGATGTTAAAATTATGCATAATCATCAGGGCTTAATTCTGATTTCTGAATGCTAACTTTGGTTTATTATACAGCTTTCTTTCAAAATAATTCTAACTTACGTTTTAATATTTTAAGTTTATAAGGCATTTTCCTATATGTTATCACCTTTGATTTATTAATTGTATTCTAAGGTTATAGGGAAGGTAATATTCTAATTTTATAGTAAGATAGGTCCAGAGAGATGGAATGATTTACTGTTGCTAATAAATACATGTTAGCACTTCAACCTGGGTCACCATTTTATGCTGCCCTAGAATTAGTGGTCAATTTAGAGTGAAATAATTTTGAAAACAAAGTGGACTCTGCCCTAATTATTGTTTTTATAATTGCCACATCTTTCCTGTCTTTTGTCACTTCATTTATTATTTCTTTTTCTGTTATGTATGTTTTCAATTTATATTTCTTTGTATATTCATTTCCCTCCTGTCTTTCTTCCCTCTTTTCTTTTCTTCCACCTTCTCTTCTTTTTCTCTTTATTTTTGCATTAGGACAAAAACCAGAGGAACCTTTTCTAAAAAGTATATTCACCAAAACTTCAAACTTTGCGTTCACCCAAACTTCAAATCCAACTAGTATTAGATAGTTTCCATTAGTGTTACTTTGAAGTAAGGCCTTTGGTAAATAGCTTTTGTAAAGCCAGTTTCATACTGCCACCCATTGTCTGGAATTGTCCTAATTTTTTAGAGAACACTTATCTGATAAAGAAGAAGAAATTCAAAACAGTTTAAGAATGTTTAATGTAGACATCTGAAGAATTGATACTTTTGATCTGTGGTGCTGGAGAAGACTTAAGAATCCCTTGGGCTGCAAAGAGATCAAATCAGTCAATCCTAAAGGAAATCAACCCTGAATATTCATTGGAAGGATTGATCTGAAGCTGAAACTCCAATACTTTGGCCACCTGATGCAAAGAGCTGATTCATTGGAAAAGGCCCTGATGCTGGGAAAGATTGAAGGCAAAAGGAGAAGGGGGCAACAGAGGATAAGATGGTTGGGTGGCATCACTGACTCAATGGACATGAATTTGAGCAGTCTCTGGGAAATAGTGAAGGACAGGGAAGCCTGGCATGCTGCAGTCCATGGGGTTGCAAAGAGTCGGACACGACTTAGTGACTGAACAACAACAGAGTGTAGATATACTGACAATTATTAATTAGTATGTTATTGCAGCCTATTTATTTCAAATTGGATTTTTTTAGACCACTAGTGATTATGTATATGAGTATACAACCGTGGTTTCTCTAAAGATACCACAGTTGTGGTCTTCACTGATGTGACAAACCAAGTGTATCTTAGATATTATGGTTAAACTCTATGAACATTTTCTCCTAAGTCTGGAATTATTGAAAGATTTGTTTTTTGGAGATCTGAATGGTGATAATTGGAGTTAATAGAAAATTTCAGTTTTGCACTTATAATTTCCTAGGCTAAGGCCTTTGCAAGGTAGAGAGGTCTTTGAGGATTTGTTTTGTAATTCACTTTTCTATTCCTCAAAGAGGTGCTGTATTTTTAAAAATGAGAAGTAATCTCTTTTCAACCAATGGGAAACTTGGTTCAGTCAGGAGGCATATTTCTATATCATTTTCATGGTTTAAAGTAATAAGATTGATTTTTAAATCAGGTTTGTAAAACTTGACCAGATAATAAAATCAGGGAGTGTAACCCTCTATGTTCTAAGTCTCTGTGAGGAAGAAGACTATGGTGACACATTTAAACTAAGAATAGGAATGGCATCCTCAAAATGCTAGAAAAAACAATATCTCCCTCTGGATTCCCCGTCTATCAGATCATAACTTTCTGTTGACTGTCTTTAAAGAGTATGTTTTTCATCTGAGTTTGGCCTTCAAAGGCCCTCTCCTGATATTTTTTGGAAAGTAAAATAGTAAGAAACTTTTTTCCCCCTTTTCACTCCTCTTTTTAAGTTTTCAAATCTACTCTCAGCTTACTTACCTGCATTGTTTTATTATCCAGAGCAAGACTGAGTTACAATAACATTTGTTTGGGTTTGAACGCTTAGGACAGCTGTCTAAGCAACTACTTCCTATTTCAACTCAATTAGTGTTCTTTTGGGCAAAATCCATAGAAATTCTGCTTTCAGATCATTAATTTTCTGTTTTTCTTCCTTGACAGTGTAGAAAAACATGGTAGGCAGTGTGGTACAATGGAAAAAGCATAAATAGGTTTTGGATTCTTATGATACAGGTTTCAAAAGATCCTGATTCTCCATGGACATGTAATTTGGTCTTTTTGTATTTTAGTTTCCTCACCCATGAAGTGGACATGTTAATATTAGTCTTGTAGGATCATTTATAAGGGTTGGGGGGGACGATATATGTAAAGTTTTTAGACACTGAGCAAATGGTAGTCATAACAGTTGCTGCAGAAGATGTTATTAAAGGTACCAACTTTGGGTCTAGGCTATTTAGGTTCAAATCCTGGCTCCAATACTAAATGGCCGTATAAGGCTGTGTAACAGCTACTTATTCAACTATGCATTACTTCAGTTTCCTCATCTGTAAAATGGGAACAATGACAGTACTTTTTATCTCCTAGTGAGGATTAGGGGCTTCTCCAGTGGCTCAGTGGTAAAGATCCAGCTGCAAGGTGGGATACTTACAGGAGACACGGGCTCAATCCCTGGGTTGGAAAGATCCCCTTGAGGAGGAAATAGCAACCCACTCCAGTGTTCTTGCCTGAAAAATCCTATGGACAGAGGAGCATGGTGGTCTATAATCCATGGGGTCACAAAGAGTCTGACATGACTGAGCACACACACAGGCCAGCAATGAGGATTAAATAAGTAAGCACATATGAAATGCAACAGTGTGTGCTCTGCACATAGTGTTAGCTATGATGGTAACTGTGATGATGACATCCTCCCTTGCTCTCTAGAACCCTCAGGTTTTAAATTACTGTGTTTAGATTTTCATAACAAATTGAATTTCTGAAAACTTGCACTGTATGTCTTTGTCTTAACAGAACAATGAAAATGAAACTGCCCTACATTGTGCAGCTCAGTACGGACACTCGGAGGTAGTTGCTGTTCTCCTGGAAGAACTCACCGATCCTACCATCAGAAACAGCAAGCTGGAAACACCTCTGGACCTGGCAGCCCTCTATGGACGGCTTAGAGTGGTCAAAATGATCATCAGCGCACACCCTAACTTAATGAGCTGCAACACCCGAAAGCACACGCCACTGCACCTTGCTGCACGCAATGGTCACAAGGCAGTCGTTCAAGTGCTGCTGGAGGCAGGAATGGATGTCAGCTGTCAAGTGAGTCTTCTTATCGCTGTGCTTCCAAAACAATAGTGTTTTTGCTTTGCTTTGAGATACAGATGTTAAAATTTACATCTTAATTACATGCTGAATTTACAGGAAGAAATACTAACATTTTTAAATCCGGCAAATGGTCCACATGTATTTTTCTAACTACTAAATTCAAAGTATCCTGCCACACTCTTGGGAAATATGAAGGGATATAAGCCCTACTCTCTAACCTCATTCTGACTTGAGGGCTTTCCACATGAAAAATTATTACTAGATGGCAGTTATGTGTGGTCTTCTTAGTAATTGTTTCCTTTATTCCAGTATCTAGCACACAGCTTGACATATACCAGGAATTCAGTCTAAAATTGAGTGAATGAAAGAAAGAAATGAAATTGACTTTAATTTTTGAGTATGTACTTTGTGTTTAATATGTTGACATGTTTAGAATCTAAATCTCACAGTTATCTTGTGGGATTGAGAGCTATTAAGTTCCAGTACAGAAATGAGGAATCACATTCAAAGACTAATAAACTTGCCTAAGGACACATAGCTCATAAACCCAGAATGTGAATTAAGACTTACTGATTAAAGTCCAGGCGTCTTTCTGCAATAATGTACTTGTGTACATGACTCATAAAGGGAGGATCACTATACCTAAGGGCAATAAAAAATTTTTTTTTAAAACTTGACCATTTGCATAGGTGAAAAACTTTCTCTTAAAATCTTCCTTCATCATCCTCAGAGCAGAAACCAATCTTTCCCTGCAGTGCTCACAAATTCTTGTCTTCTGTGTTATGTTCCTCCCTCATTCTACCCTCAAAATAATTCTTAATTTTCATACTAACTCTATGCCAAGAATAGTTGAAGAATATTCTGAGGTATGGTACTTTTTAGGCATTGGTGATACCATGATGAAAGAATAGATATGGTCTACATTTCCACTAAACTTACAGTTTACTAAAGGAAATAGATAATCATATAACATTATAATGTAGTACTGTAAATTCTATGATGAGGAAGATTAGATTGATGTGGAACACACAGGGAAAGTGCTGCACTTTAGGGGCAAGCAATACTTCCTGAGTGAAATTATATTTAAACTAAGATTTGACATGTAGTATAGGTCTGTGGTTCTCAATTGTACTCCCTAAACCCTTATTATTGGGGCTTCCCATGTGGCACCAGTGTTAAAGAACCTGCCTGCCAAAGCAGGAGATGTAAGCTGTGGGTTTATCTCTGGGTCGGGAAGATCCCCTGGAGGAGGGCATGGCACCCCACACCAGTATTCTTACCTGAAGAATCCCATGGACACAGGAGTCTGGAAGGCTACAGCCCATAGGGTCGCACAGAGTTGGATGCAACTGAAGCAACATAACACGCACACACGCATCCCAGGTGACTGAGCCAGAACTCATGGTGGTGCCCAGAAATCTGGTCAGCAAGCTCTGTAGGTGATTCTGATTCAGGCTGAAGATTGAGAACTGGTGGTATAGGTGATGGAGAGGTAAAGAGGACTAGGAGTTCTATCCTACCAGGCAGAGGGACCAGCTTTTGAGATTCTTGGGGACGAAAACAAGGGAATGATACTGATGAAATGTTTAGTATGCCTGGAGCATGAATAAGGTACAGAAGGTCTGGGGAGAGTTGGGATAGACAAGAGAGGATATGGAAAGGAAAGGAAGGAAGAATATTTTCCAGGTTTTTTAAGCCACATTAAATTGGTGTGATTTTATTTGCCATTAATATTTATTTATACATCTGTCTCCTCCGATAGAATGTAAATGTACGAGAGTCAGGATCATATTTCCATACCTCAGAACACCCCTTAACTATTCTTGGTGTAAAGCTGGTATTTAATTAATGCATGTTGAATTGCATGAGCTCACTGGATAGTCACAAAAGCCTCATGAGGTAGGTATTACTACTCTTATGTTATATCTGAGAACGACTGAGGGTGAAAGAAGATGAGTGACTTATAAACATAACAAGGTCAAATGGCTACAGAGAAGCACAGATATTTCACAAGCTCAAGCTTTTGGATTTTGTTTTTAGAATCTTCTTTATTCCACACTCCTTTCTGTCAGAGTGCTAAGATTACAAACAGTATGTATGAATGCATCAGTTCAGTTCAGTTCAGTTCAGTCACTCAGTTGTGTCCGACTCTTTGCGACCCCATGAATGCATAAAAGGATATAATTTTTTTAACCTTAGCTTTCCTAATGTTTTTCCTTCTTCTTCTTTTCTTCTAGACAGAAAAAGGGAGTGCACTCCATGAAGCAGCTTTGTTTGGGAAAGTGGATGTTGTGCGAGTTCTGTTAGAAACAGGTAACTATCATAATTCTCCATGGAGCTTATCTTGCCAAAAACTGTACTCCAGAAGTGGACAAAGGAAAATGATGCAATCCACCCCACCCCACATTACCCTTTTTACTTCACTCTAAATTGTATGTATGTAGAACCATGTAGAATTGACCCTCAGTGTTAAGGAAAAAAAAACTGATATAAATGTTTATCTTCCTTTTCAATAGATTCTCTAATCAAAAGCTTTTTAGAAGTGATCACTTTCTGTTTTTAAATTATATTAAAATATATTAGAGAAACTACCAAAAGAGGGAGAAAATCTCTGCCTTCTATAGGAGGGAGGAATTGATCCATGTGAAGCTGTGACAATTGCTTGATTTATTAAATAATATACAATTTTCCCTAGGTTTTTATATTGTTAACAGTGGTAAACAGAAATTAGAGTTCCCTATCCTTAAGGTGAATTTTCCTTCTAGTTAATTCTTCATTAAAGTGGATTAAAGTGAAAGTCATTCTTTGTGACGCCATGGACTGCACAGTTTATGGAATTCTCCAGGCCAGAATACTGGAGTGGGTAGCCTTTTTCTTCTCAGGGGATCTTCCCAACCCAGGGATGGAACCCAGGTCTCCTTCACTGCAGGCAGATTCTTTACCAGCGGAGCCACAAAGGAAGCTCAAGAATACTGGAGTGGGTAGCCTATCCCTTCTCTAGGGGATTTTCCTGACCCAGGAATCGAACAGGGTCTTCTGCATTGCAGGCAGATTCTTTACCAAATGAGCTATGAGGGAAGCCCAGTTAATTCATCAGCTGAGTAGCTACTGTTTGTAAGCTTCAGTGATTTAAAGGGAACCTTTTAGAGGGAAAACTCTGAAGGAGCAACAAAGTAGTCTTATTTGTCTCCATATGTGTATTATAATTGAAATAAAATTGAAACCAAGGTCAGATTTTTTTTTAAGATCAAAAGGTATAGATTCAAATTCATGCTTGTGAACAATATATATGAGTCTTCTATGTTATAAACTATGTTTGACGTGTTTATTTTCCTCAGTAAAAATGTTAAAAGTATTATCAGACTGTTGCATTGTGATTGTTCTTAAGCAAAGTTGAAATTTCATATATATGTAACTTTGATATGTAATGCAGTGATATAATAAATGAGGTAATCAATTAAATGTGTGCTGGTAATACATTTCCATACAAATTTAAGCAAATATTTAATAATTTTATTATAATGAATAACTTTTGAGGCCAGATCCTGAAAACTGGCTTTTGTTTGTAATTAGAAATTTGGGAAGTTTATAGAGATTTTTGCTATTTGCTACATTAAACTCTTTACCATAAATATTTTCAGAATTAAAAGGATTCCAAAGGTATTTCAGTTACACACATTAGGAAGTGTTCTCATCAGGTATTTGATGAGTATTGCTGATATTGAATATAATCTTGTATAAATAAATGTGGAATATTTGACTTAGTATTTGGACAATAATTAAAAATTGTCCTACTTTTTCAACTTCTGTGAATGCTAAAGTATTCTAAGACTGCTGTTATATTGCTTACATGGTACATTATTATTATTTTGATCATACTATAAAGAATATATAAATCACATGACTTTTATACTTTAGGAATTTACATTCTAATATTTTTCAACTTGATAGTCTATAATTTAGTTAAGTAGTTATAAGCTAAAATAGCTGTAATCTGAAAAGTTAATGTTTGAGTCAGTGTTAATTTGTTATCAAATGAAGAGTTAATTCATTATCAAAAATGTTCCAAATCTTTGGAATCAGTAGACTTCCATCTTCTTTCTTACTAAAATCGTGTGTGTGTGTGTGTGTGTGTGTGTGTGTATGTGTGTGTGTAGGGCTTAATTAAAAAAAAACTGCCTTAAGCGCTTTGTTTGCGTACTTCTGAAATTAGTGCGGTCATGTGTTGACAACATCTTCTGGTGATACTCCACTGTGTTCATCTAGTGGGTTTTTCTTTTTCTTTCAGGAATTGATGCCAACATAAAAGATAGCTTAGGTAGAACTGTCTTAGACATTTTGAAAGAACATCCATCTCAGAAATCTCTCCAGATTGCAACTCTCTTACAAGGTAAATAGTATTGAATGATGGATGAGTTTGCCTTACAGTTAAGATTAAATTAAAACTGTCTTCGTTTTCTTTTGTTTCGAGTTAACATTTACTTTTGAATGAAGTTACTATTTGCATTTTTTTCTGGTAGACTTTTTTTTTTTTTTCTGGTAGACTTTTAAACTAAAGAATAATGAATACCTTTTAATGTTTTATTTGTTTTTCAACTGTTAAAACATTTTTTTCACTCACTTGATATTAAAAAGTATTTTTAATTAAACGCTTGTAATATATAGTTATGAACTTGAAGGTATTAGGGCTATAAAGTGGTGATGCTGAGGTATTATCTTACATTTGAATAATGGATTTTCTATTATTTTGCCTGATTTCTGTAACTGTGAAGTAGATCAATCAAATATTATTATTCTTTTTTTTGCACATGAGGGAAATTGAAGCTCCAGGAAGCTAAGTGATTTGCTCTAACATATATCCTATTCCAAGTGGTAGGACTGGTATATAAATGCTGAGTTAACAACAACAAAATTGTCCTTCGTTGAAAGAATACAGATTATTTGCCAGCAGATCCAGTAATACAAGATAATTCAGTCTTGCCAGCCTATGAGTTAATAAATATCATTTGAGTATATCTAAGGAAACCAAGGATGTTATTGTATCTTCAACCAGTACATTTATTTTTAAGGAAAGAATGTGACAAAAGTTTACTTTTATGAAAAGGATTCATGAGTCTCTCTTGAAATATTTTTTCTGTTTTAATTAAAAAGCTTTAAATTAATAGCTCATCATGAAGATCTTTCAGTTTGGTTTTTTGAAGTTTTTTTGAAAAACTTAGGATATGAAGAAATAACTGAAAAAGTAACCATCAAAGTAAAACCAAGTTAGAGTTTTTAACATATATGAATTCAAGTATGTAATTTCAAAAACTTATATACACAGAATATTTAGAAGGCATGGGAAGACCAACAGTCCTTGAAGAACACATACAGGAAGATATGACACAAGAAACACGTATTTCATCTCCTGTTGAATCTCCTTCCCAGAAGACCAAAAGTGAGTAACTAATTGTAAAACCCTTGAGATGATATTAAACTATTATGTACAATTTTATGCTTTATGTATGAACGGGCTCAAACTTGTGAAAATTTAAGGTCTAACAAGTTATATCTTATACTCTATATTTTATCCATTATTCAATCAATATTTATTGAGCTCCTGCTGTTTGTCAGACACTATTCTTAGTCCTGAGATATAGTGGTGATCAAGGGAAATAGCAATCCCTGCTGACATGAAGCTTACATGGAGTGGATATTTTACAGTTGACTTTTACCCCCTAAAATATGTTTTTAAGGTAGACTAAAAAACATATCAAATAGCCAACATCCACTGGATCATCAAGAAAGCAAGAGAGTTCCAGAAGAACATCTATTTCTGCTTTATTGACTATACCAAAGCCTTTGACTGTGTGGATCACAATAAACTGTGGAAAATTCTGAAAGAGATGGGAATACCAGACCACCTGACCTGCCTCTTGAGAAACCTATATGCAGGTCAGGAAGCAACAGTTAGAACTGGACATGGAACAACAGACTGGTTCCAAATAGGAAAAGGAGTATGTCAAGGCTGTATATTGTCACCCTGCTTATTTAACTTCTATGCACAGTACATCATGAGAAATGCTGGGCTGGAGGAAGCACAAGCTGGAATCAAGATTGCCAGGAGAAATATCAATAACCTCAGATATGCAGATGACACCACCCTTATGGCAGAAAGCAGAGAAGAACTAAAGAGCCTCTTGATCAGAGTGAAAGAGAAGAGTGAAAAATTTGGCTTAAAACTCAACATCCAGAAAACTAAGATGATGGCATCTGGTCCCATCACTTCATGACAAATAGATGGGGAAACAGTGGAAACAGTGTCAGACTTTATTTTTTTGTGCTCCAAGATCACTGCAGATGGTGATTACAGCCATGAAATTAAAAGACATTTACTCTTTGGAAGGAAAGTTATGACCAACCTAGATGGCGTATTAAAAAGCAGAGGCATTACTTTGACAACAAAGGTCTGTCTAGTCAAGGCTATATCCAGTGGTCATGTATGGATGTGAGAGTTGGACTATAAAGAAAGCTGAGCACCAAAAAATTGATGCTTTTGAACTATGGTATTGGAGAAGACTCTTGAGAGTCCCTTGGACTGCAAGGAGATCCAACTAGTCAATCCTAAAGGAGATCAGTCCTGGGTGTTCATTGGAAGGACTGATGCTGAAGCTGAAACTCCAATACTTTGGCCACCTGATGCAAAGAGTTGACTCATTGGAAAAGACCCTGATGCTGGGAAAGATTGAGGGTGGGAGGAGAAGGGATGACAGAGGATGAAATGGCTGGATGGCATCACCAACTCAATGGACATGAGTTTGAGTAAACTCCGGGAGTTGGTGATGGACAGGGACGCCTGGCGTGCTGTTCATGGGGTCCCAAAGAATCAGACATGACTGAGCGACTGAACTGAACTGAACTGAAAAAACATATATCTTGAATGTAACTTCTGTTTTTTTTTTTTTTTTTAGAATAAATCATTGGGATGAAGTTGCTTTCTGAGAATAATTAGAAAAAAATGAGTATTTGTGTGTAACCTATGAAATATTCATGTCCATAGTTGATGCATATTATATATCTGTTCCTTCTGTTATCCCTTTATTAGTTATATAATTATTTGTTTAAATATGTTCTACTATTTGATTTTGTTGAACCTATAAAGTAGAATCCCAGCACTATTTCAATTTTTTTAATGTTGAATGAATTCTGTCAGTAAAGTATAATGCCCACGAATACTTGGGTTGATGTCCCCAAGCTCCAGAATCTAATACCTGGTAATATGAGGTGGAACTGATATAATAGTAATAAAGTGCACAATAAGTGTAATGTGCTTGAATAATCCCAAAACCATCCCCCCAACGCTGACTGTGGGAAAATTGTCTTCCACAAAACCAGTCCCTGGTGCCAAAAATGTTTGGGACCACTGTTCTAAAAGACTATTGAAATTAAATGCTATTATAAGTGAAGTTTTAGGAATTGTAATTCCAAATGATTTTATGTACTACATTTATGTAAACCTTCAGTACTTATTTTCATCTTGATAAAGAATAAAAATAGACAAAATTGGAATTTCTTTTTGTCCTTTAATATTATTGTACTAATTATGGTTTCACTTCAGTTCAGTTCACTTACTCAGTCGTGTCCAACTCTTTGTGACCCCATGGACCACAGCACACCAGGCTTCCCTGTCCATCACCAACTCCCAGAGTTTATCCAAACTCATGTCCATTGAGTCGGTAATGCTATCCAACCATCTCATCCTCTGTCATCCCCTTCTCCTCCTGCCTTCAATCTTTCTCAGCCTTAGGGTCTTTTCCAGTGAGTCAACTCTTTGCATCAGGTGGCCAAAGTATTGGAGTTTCAGCTTCAACATCAGTCCTTCCAGTGAACACCCAGGACTGATCTCCTTTAGGATGGACTGGTTGGATCTCCTTGCAGTCCAAGGGACTCTCAAGAGTCTTCTCCAACACCACAGTTCAAAGCATCAATTCTTCAGTGCTCAGCTTTCTTTATAGTCCAATTGTACATCAATGCATGACTACTGGAAAAAGCATAGCCTTGACTAGTTGGACCTTTGTTGTCAAAGTAATGCCTCTGCTTTTTAATATGCAGTCTAGTTTGGTCATAACTTTCCTTCCAAGGAGCAAGTGCCTTTTAATTTCATGGCTGCAGTCTCTATCTGCAGTGATTTTGGAGTCCCCAAAAATAAAGTCTGTCACTGTTTCCACTGATCACCATCTATTTGCCATGAAGTGATGGGACCAGATGCCATCATCTTAGTTTTCTGAATGTTGAGTTTTAAGCCAAATTTTTCACTCTTCTCTTTCACTCTGATCAAGAGGCTCTTTAGTTCTTCTCTGCTTTCTGCCATAAGGGTGGTGTCATCTGCATATCTGAGGTTATTGATATTTCTCCTGGCAATCTTTTGATTCCAGCTTGTGCTTCCTCCAGCCCAGCATTTCTCATGATGTACTGTGCATAGAAGTCAAATAAGCAGGGTGACAATATACAGCCTTGACATACTCCTTTTCCTATTTGGAACCAGTCTGTTGTTCCATGTCCAGTTCTAACTGTTGCTTCCTGACCTGCATATAGGTTTCTCAAGAGGCAGGTCAGGTGGTCTGGTATTCCCATCTCTTTCAGAATTTTCCACAGTTTATTGTGATCCACACAGTCAAAGGCTTTGGTATAGTCAATATAGCAGAAATAGATGTTCTGGAACTCTCTTGCTCTCTTGATGATCCAGCGGATGTTGGCAATTTGATCTCTGGTTCCTCTGCCTTTTCTAAAACCAGCTTGAATATCTGGAACTTCACAGTTCATGTGTTGCTGAAACCTGATTTGGAGAATTATGAGCATTACCTTGTTAGTGTGTGAGATGAGTGCAATTGTGCGATAGTTTGAGCATTCTTTGGCAATGACTTTCTTTGGGATTGGAATGAAAAATGAACTTTTCCAGTCCTGTGGCCACTGCTGAGTTTTCCAAATTTGCTGGCATATTGAATGCAGCACTTTCACACCATCATCTTTTAGGAATTGAAATAGCTCAACTGGAATTCTATCACCTCTACTAGCTTTGTTCATAATGATGCTTCTTATGGCCCACTTGACTTCACATTCCAGGATGACTGGCTCTAGGTGAGTGATCACACCATTGTGATTATCTGGGTGTGAAGATCTTTTTTGTATAGTTCTTCTGTGTATTCTTGCCACCTCTTCTTAATATCTTCTACTTCTGTTAGGTCCATACCATTTCTCTCCTTTCTTGAACCCATCTTTGCATGAAATGTTCCCTTGGTATCTCTAATATTCTTGAAGAGATCTCTAGTCTTTCCTATTCTATTGTTTTCCTCTATTTCTTTGCACTGATCACTGAGGAAGGCTTTCTTACCTCTCCTTGTTATATTTTAGAACTCTGCATTCAAATGGATATCTCTTTCCTTTTCTCCTTTGCTTTCGGCTTCTGTTCCTTTCACAGTGGTTTGTAAGGCCTCCTCAGACAGCCATTTTGCTGTTTTGCATTTCTTTTTCTTGGAGATGGTCTTGATCCCTGTCTCCTGTACAATGTCCATAGTTCATCAGGCACTCTGTCTATCAGATTTAGTCCCTTAAATCTATTTCTCACTTCCACTGTATAATTGTAAAGGATTTGATTTATGTCATACCTGAATGGTGTAGTGGTTTTCCCCACTTTCCTCAATTTAAGTCTGTATTTGGCAATAAGGAGTTCATGATCTGAGCCACAGTCAATTTCCAGTCTTGTTTTTGCTGACTTTGTAGAACTTCTCCATCTTTGGCTGCAGAGAATATAATCAATCTGATTTCAGTATTGACCATCTGGTGATGTCCATGTGTAGAGTCTTCTCTTGTGTTGTTGGAAGAGGGTGTTTGCTATGACCAGTGTGTTCTCTTGGCAAAACTCTATTAGCCTTTGCCCTGCTTCATTCAAGGCCAAATTTGCCTGTTACTCCAGGTGTTTCCTGACTATCTACTTTTGCATTCCAGTCCCCTATAATGAAAAGGACATCTTTTTTGGGTGTTAGTTCCAAAAGGTCTTGTAGGTCTTCATAGAACCCTTCAACTTCATCTTCTTCATCATTACTGGTTAGAGCATAGACTTGGATTACCGTGATATTGAATGGTTTGCCTTGGAAATGAACAGAGATCATTCTGTCGTTTTTGTGATTGTATTCAAGTACTTCATTTTGGATTCTTTTGTTGACTATGATGCCTAGTCCATTTCTTCTAAGGGATTCTTGCCCACAGTATTAGATGTAGTGGTCATCTGAGTTAAATTAACCTATTTCAGTCTATTTTAGTTAACTGTTTGCTAAAATGTCAATGTTCACTCTTGCCATCTCCTGTTTGACCACTTCCAATTTGCCTTGATTCATGGACCTAACATTCCAGGTTCCTATGCAATATTGCTCTTTATAGCATCAGACCTTGCTTCCATCACCAGTCATATCCACAACTGGGTATTGTTTTTGCTTTGGCTCTGTCCCTTCATTCTTTCTGGAGTTATTTCTCCACTGATCTCCAGTAGCATATTGGGCACCTACTGACCTGAGGAGTTTGTCTTTCAGTGTCCTATCATTTTGCGTTTTCATACTGTTCATGGCGTTCTCAAGGCAGGAATACTGAAGTGGTTTGCCATTCCCTTCTCCAGTGGACCACATTCTGTCAGACCTCTTCCCCGTGACCTGTCTATCTTGGATGGCCCTACACGGCATAGCTTAGTTTCATTGAGTTAGACAAAGTGTGGTCCATGTGATTAGACTGGTTAGTTGTCTGTGATTGTGGTTTCAGTCTGTCTGCCCTCTGATGCCCTTTCTGCTGCCTACTGTCTTACTGGGGTTTCTCTTACCTTGGATGTGTTAGTACCTTACTTTCAGCAAAATAAACTTTCTGATAATTTTGTTTGCCGTGTTTTGAGTTCTCGCACTATACTGGTTATATTTTTATCATTTAGCATGAAGTTTTAGCAGTATTCTTTTTCGAAACTTCTGAAAAATATATTCTCTTCTTATAGGTGAAACTGTGACTGGCGAATTATCAAAACTCTTGGATGAAATAAAGCTCTGTCAAGAAAAGGATTATTCTTTTGAAGATTTGTGCCACACAATATCAGACCACTACTTAGATAATTTGAGCAAGATTTCAGAGGAAGAACTTGGGAAAAATGGAAGCCAGAGTGTAGTAAGTAAGGGGGGAAAGAAGACAATGTGTCTGTCTTTGCCAATTCATTATGTACCCGAACGCTATGGGATTTATGTGTTATCTTGCCTTTAGGTTTAGCCAGGGTCAAATGTCAGGCTCCCCGTTGCGCTTCCCTGATATTTACTGGTGTTCATTCTCACTGCATGTGTAGGGAAGAAATGCTTTGATAAGTCACTTATGGTTTGTGATGATCTCACCACTGTTAGACCCTTGTAACATATACATTCATAGTTCCTTTGATTATGCTCTTTTAGGTTTATTGGGCGTAATGACAGTGGTTCCAAAGAAAGAAGAAAACCTTCCTTTTTTCTTTTTCCCTTGTTTTCTCTGTCATCTGGGTTTAACACCATCTTGAAGAAGAAAGACATAGCCAAGCCATGAGTGTGTACTTCCCACCCAGTTTGTAAATCATAGTAGGAGAGAGTCATTGTGGATAGTTTGACCTGAATATTTTCATAATCTTACACAAATCCCAGAAGTTTGCATGCAAACTGTAAGCTCAGAATCTGAATCATGAGTAAGAGATTCTTGCTTAGTTGAATTTTTATATTGATACAATAGCAAGAAAAACTATAGAGAATCAGTCAGTTTAAAGTCAAGATTTTTATATCTTGTCTTTAGTCCTATAGAAGGATTTATAGGATGCATTGGTATTAAAGGAAATGAATTATTATGATATGAAACCTTTTATCACTTTTAGTACTTAATTTTTTTATAGAAATATTATACTTTCTTCAAAAACCTGTAATAGAGTAGATTGTGTTAAGTATGTCGTTTTATTTATGAAAGCTAAAAAAAGTTGCTGAGTATACTGTTATGAGAACATTTACTTCATTTAGTTGCTTACTGTTATGTAAAGTGACACTTTCCCGGGGTAGTATTTGCTAGTCTAGGTCCAAGGCCAGTCATAGCTTCTAGGCCTGTTTTTTTGTTGTTGTTGTTGTCTTTCACTGTGTTTCATAAAACATCACGTTATTGGCTCCAATAAAAGCTCTTTATGAGTAATTATGATTAACCATATGTATAATGAAGTAAATACTTGTAAGTTTTCCCAAATGATATTTTTATAGTAATGAAATATTTACTGTACTAACTTTAATGTTAGGGCAAAACTCCTTGTTTTTTTTTTTTTAAATCTACAATAGGCCTATACTAACTCAAATTACAAACCAGTTACATTTCCACATTACCTTGAAGGTTGATTAGAAATTAAGACATATTTATCCTACATAAACAATACATAGTGTTTAGGTCCATTCCTAAAGATATTTCTAAAGTGGCTACTTCTGGTCTTCTGTTTCTCAACCCACAAATTTTTCTGAGAGACCTGATATTCTAGACCAGTGGTTTCTAAATTTTGTTATGTATCAGTAGTAAACAAATTTTGAGCAAACATCCCAAATGTATTTATTTATAATTTTTAAGAATATATGCTATAAATTATGGGGCATATACTATAAGAGAAATTCAAGTGAGGATGATAAAGTGTAAAATGGATGATCTAATTTTTTTCTTTTATTCAGTTGGTATCTTGTGCACCCTAGGGTCTGCATGCTCTGCTTGGAGACCATAATTCAAACTTATGTTTTTTGAGTAGTGATGGCAAGGGCTTTTGGCATTGAGAAGGTGACATAATTTGGGGTGAGTGGTGACCAATTTTTTTTGTAAGTCAAAGACTGTTTTTTTGTAAAAAAAAAAAATACTGTGACAGTACTAAGGGAGAAATTAATGCTTCTAAGTTGAAGTTAAGCTCAAAATTCAAGCTTATATGTCCATAAAAGTGATCACTCTTTGTTCCTGTAATGAAACTTTATATTGTGTTCTTTGAAAATATTATCATACGAAAATATTAAAGGTTACATGAAGCAGAAAAGCAGAGGGTACACATGAGTAAGAGCAAATAGTTCTATTTATCTGGAATAATAAAGTTCATAAAGGGGGACAATGGAGATAAGATTAGAAGATAGAATGAGTTCAGGCCATGGATGATTTTGAATGTCAGGCTGAGAATTTTGGTATTTATTTTTGTAGGAAATGAGAAAAATCTAAAGGATTTTAGATGCATAAAATGCATTATTAAAAGCTGACTTTCAGAAGTTGAATCTGATAGAAACTTGTTATTGAATGTTTAAAAAGCAATGTAATTTATTTAACTCTTCTCTATAGCCTGTGTTGTATTTGAGTTAATTCCTGTTTTGTTGAATGTGTTTCTATTTATCAAGAATATTTTTCCAAGTTTTTAAAATGAATTATACTCTCAAGTTATACAAAAAATTTAACTGAGTACTTATAGATAATATAATATAAATGGCCATGACAGTGTTGTGAGCTGTAGCACTTATAATAGCAATGAGATGTGGTTTCTAACTTCAAAGAGTTCAGAATTTCTGCTCAAAGAAGTCTTAAATCACTGTGTGTAGACAAGAATAATATAAAAAACAAATAAATATTATAAGAATTGACATTTATTAAGTGCTTGCTATTTGATGTTTTAAAGTTTTATATTACTGAGGCCGCCTAATCTATACAGTAATCCGGATAATGGAGTTAGAAATTTGGGACATGACTCAGCTGGTAAGTGACAGATGTAGGATTCAAACTCAGAGCCAATGTCATTAATTCCCAGCTATACTTCTTATAATAAATTACCCTGTAGCCAAAGGAAATTTTTTTAAGGAAGAGATTAATGATTTATAGGTATTCATTGATGTCTTCATGGAGGTAGGGAGAAATTAAATCACAGTCTGGAGGAAGGGGAAATAATCTCTGCACTTGGAATGGAATGAATGAATGGGAGAGAATTTCAGTCTGCAGAAACATAATGTTCAAAAGCCCAAAGGTGCAGCCTAGCATTTAAAATGAGGATAATTTACCATGAGAGTTTGTCTTGAAAAGTAGTGAAGAGTGAAGCTGGATAAGTCATAATAATTTTTAACGTTGACATAACACTTTATATAAATTGATTTAATCCTCACTAACCCTACGAGATAGGCAGTATTACTCCTCCCATTTTATAGATAAGAAAAATGGAGGCACAGAGAACTTGTATCACCTTCCTAAGTTTACACAGTAAATACCAGCACCAGTCCGGTATTTACTGGATCTAGACGAAGGCAGTCTTACCACTCAACTATTTCGTTACAGAACGGGGCAGATAATTAGATTGGGAAGCTAGTCAGAAGTTTAATATTGATGCTGAGGAGAACAACTCTTGAGTATGGGAGTCCATTCATGAAGGTGACATTTTTAAAAGTTAGAAGTGGTACCTCGATGTCAGATGTTCTGGGGAGAGACTCAAACAGTGATTCTTAGCAATGGTGGTATATTAGACTTATCTAGAAAGCTTCAAAAAATGCAGACACCCTCAGCTACCATGGCAGAACAATTGAAACAGAATTGTTTTGGGTGATTCTGAACATTGTTGTTTAAAAAGCTTATACTAACATGTATATTATTGGCCTAGAGGACCAAAACTCTGCTAGGATCTTTCTGAAGTAATCCAAGCCTCAGGTAATGAGTCTGAACTGAGGTCTTGCTAAAACCACAGAATTATGGAATTTTAGATCTAAATAAATCTGACTTCTGGTGCCCAGCCTAATTCTATTATGCAGTGTAAGAGCTCTCTTGAAGTAGGGAGGTTTCAGTTCATCATTAAAGAAAATTCAAACTGTAGTTCAGCCATAGTCGTAAGTTGCAATTATTTCTATATTATAATGGAATGTTAAATGTGGAAAGCACTTTTGTTTATTATTCACATTACTGGCTGAAGGACAGGCATTTGAGTTCAGTTAAAATTTAAGTTTATATGATATGAAACATTCAACTTATTTGTTGTCTTATGACAGATAATTCCAGAAGTAATTTAGAAGAAATCAAAGTAAAGGAAAATCTGTTGTGTAGCATTTATGTTATTAATAAATATATTTTACATATTAATGACTTGGCTTGAATTTTTTAGGTGTTTTAACTATTCTTTGTCATTTTAACTTTTATTGCCTTTTTTATCCAATAGAGGGCACTCTAATTCAGTAATTTAAAATATAAAATCAGCCATCTTATGTAAGAACTTTTATTTTTGGAGTATTTGGTTTTATTAAAATATTAGCCTTAAGAAGGTAGTTTGAAAAATTTTACTAAAATAAGTGAATTAGGAATTAAACTTACAATGATTGAATGTATTTGATAGAAGGTTTTATGTTTAATGTGAAGGGAAGCTCAAGTTAAAATCGCATTTTATCTTCCATAAATTTTCATTTAAAAGTCAGTGTGTTTTAATTTCTTTTATAATATGTAAATGGAATTATTTTCTAAGTTGGATTAAGATATTATATAATCTAGAATGTAAGTTTTGAAAAAATATAAATGTCTTCACATACTTTAGCAAACCCTGAAACTTAGATTTTTGAAAGAATATAAAATTATCTGAAAAACATTTTCTAGTCACTTCATTTGTTTTCCCAAGTCATGTATCAGCTTTCCCTCAGTGTGTAAACAGTGTACACACTTTTAAAATGTGAACATACCATGCCTTAGAGAAATTTGATGATCGCATAAAGGTCTTGAGAGCAAATTTCAGAATTTAGGTTTCAGGAAATAATTTTTTAAGATATAAATTTAAAAAGGCATTATTGTCTTACCATCCCATGTATCTAAGAAATAAATAAGAAGCATCAGGGATGAAATATGTATTTTTTTCTCCTGAGGGGAAACCTAGACACTTTAGCAGCACCTGAGGGTTGTTATTTGAATGGAGTTGTGTTGGCAAGTTTTGTGCAATTTAACTCTGTGTATATTTCTTTTATATTATTTCACTTTTATATTTCTCTCATATTATTTCACACCCTGGGCTTTTTTCTCCCCCTAATTGTTAATTATTCTTTCTGATTATGATGTGATGCATAGTATTGTATCATGTGCAAATTTTGAAACGTGTTTGACAGTAAGATATCTCTTAATCCTAAGAGCATTCTCTTAAGGTA